CCCAATCCCCATCCTGCTCCTGAACCCCATTCCGCTCCTAGTCCCGGTCCCCACCCCGGCTCCGATCCCCACCCCGGCTCCCATCCTAGTCCCGGTCCCGATTCCCATCCCGGTCCCCGTTCCGGCCCCGGTCTGGGTCTCGGTCTTTATCACAGCACCGACCCCGGTCCCGATCGCGGCCCCGGCCCCCGCCATCCACCTCCTCCGCCGCCGCCCGGCCCGTTCCGCCTCCGCCGGTTCCTCTGCCCCGGCGTCGGTTCCCGTCCTCTTCCCGCGCCGCCCGGGCCCCTCCGGCACCTCGGCCATGGCGCTGCTGCCGCCGCCGCTGCCGCACTGACGGCGGGGCCGCCACCGGGCCCGGCTTTCCCGGGGGCGCGGCCCCGCAGCTCCGCCCGCACCGGCCCCGCACCGCCCCCGGCACCGCCCGCGCCCGCGTGTCACGGGGCGGGACGTGTCCTGGGATGCACCGCGAGTCCCGGAACGGGGACGTGAGTCCTGGGATGGGGACGTATCTCCCGCGATGGGACATGTATGCTGGGATAGGACGTGTGTCCTGGGATGGGATACACGTCCTGGGATGGGACCACATGTCTCTGGGTGGTCTTTGTGTTCTGGGATGGGACATGCGACCTGGGGTGGCACAAGTGTGCTGGGATGAGGGGCCACGTGCCCCAGGATGAGGATGTGTCTCCCAGGATGAGCCATCTGTACTGGGACCGGGCTGTGTCCTGAGATAGAACATGTGTCCCAGGACAGGATCTGTGTGCTGGGATCCAACCTGTGTCCCATAGCAGGCCCTGCTGTGCAGCCTGGGATGGAGATGGTGCCTGGTCCTGAGGGGCTGGTGCTGCCAGGAGGCTTTGGCCCTGCCATGGGTCTGGGCTGGGGTCCTGCTGCCCACACCACACAGGCACAGCAGTGGATGCCCTGACCAGCCTCACCTGGACATTCCTCCATCCCCCACCTCCCCACCTGTGGTGCCAGGGCTCTATTTAAGTTCAGCCTGAGCCCCCACTCCTCTCTCTGATGTGCCTGGGGTGCTGGTCTCCAGCTGCAGCCCCGCTCAGCCCAGCCACAGACCTGCCCTTCCAGACCCTGACCCCCAGCTTCACCTCAGACCCGTCTCCTCTCTGTGGCTGTGCCGGATGACTTGGACTCTTGGCAACCCTCCCCAGCCTGCCCTGTTCCCAGGCTGACAGTTCTGTCACTGTGCTCAGCTCCCAGCCCTCAGGACGCAGCCAGTCCCGTGCAGACCCAGCACAGGACCCCTGTCTCTCAAGGGACAGTCTGTCCTTCCCTCTCCACTCCCACCTGACAGCACTGCACCAGCCCACGGCTCTCGGGAAGCCCCGGCACTCCAGGAGCAGAAACCCGTCGTGAGCCCTTTGGAGCCTCCACACACACAAAGCAAGAGGACACTGAGGATGTGAGCAAGGCTGGAAACGTGGGGTGTTTAATGTAGCATGAGCTGTACAGGGAGGTCAGAATGCTGCCCCACACCACTGCGGCGTCTACACAAACAAGAAGCCTGGCCAGCAGATAATCTAAGGGAAGAGGAAGTGGCTGAGGCCAAAGGCTCTGTCAGGGCTGCGGGTGGGGAGCCAGCCCCTCCCCAGCAGAGGCTGTGGCGAGCAGTGACGGGACCTGCAGAGGGAACTGATGCAATCCGCTCCCACCAAGGGTACCCAGCCCCGTGCTGCAACACCCGCCCCACGGGCCCCCAGCTCTGCAGAAGGAAAGGGGGCCCTTAGTGGTTCATTGCCTTTCCTGATGGTGTTGAGCACCTTCTGCCTGTTGGAGGCAGGGAACACAGCATGGTGTGTGGAGGAGGAACACGGTGCACGTGTCTGTGCTGGCTTGCAGCAAGGCAGCAGCAGTCACGCTGCTCCCCTGGTGCCAGCTCAGCCAGTGCCACAGTGGGCTGTGCCCGGCAAACCCGGCTACGGAGCAGGTGAGGGGGGCGTGGAAGGAGCTCCCTGCCCACCCCAGGTGAGCAGCTGCTCCCCAGTCACAAATGTGGCAGGGGCTGGAAATGGCTCCAACTCCTCCAGGTGTGTCTGATCGGTCTCAAGAAGCTGGAGTGGGGGAATTCACACACTGAGGCAGCTGCTGAGGGTAGTGGCAGTAGGGTGGGTGGCTAACAGCATAATGGGGGTGGCACGCCCAGGATGAGAGGGCACAGGGGCTCCTTGGCCGCCCGGCCCGGTGCAGGAGGAGTTGGGGGGGGCTGGTGTTCAGGGGTCTCCACTGTACTTGATGAGGTGGCCACTGAAGGTGATGTAAGTGTCATACTCGTCGCTGAAGACGGCGTTCTCACGCTCGCCCTTGTAGAGCCGCACCCAGACCTCGTCCTGCTCCCCCAGCTCCAGCATGACGCTCTGGCTCTGCATGATGCTGCGGTCACTCACCTGGGCGTAGAGGATCACCACCTCTGCCCCGTTGTGCATGATGTGCAGGTACGTCTCCTTCTGGTTCCAGGTGTGCACGTTGAGGCTGAAGTAGTAGATCCCGGGGACGTAGCAGTAGAACTTGCCCGTGAACATGTTGAAGTGGCTGTAGAGGTTGACAAACTCCGTGTCGAAGATGAGGGTCTGGTAGTAGTCATTGCTGTGCAGGGGTTTCTTGCGGCCCACCGAGAAGGCGGCATAGTGGCTCTTGCAGCGCTCCCCCGGGGCGCCCATGCTGCCCTTCTGTCCCTTGGGCCCCGCGTGGCCCCTGCTGCCGGCCACCCCCGTCTTGCCAAACTTGCCCTGGATGCCACGCTCGCCACGGTCCCCCTTCTCCCCTGGGCAGAGCAGGAGGGAGAGCTGGACTGTCAGGCGGGGGCCAGCACCGAACCCACACCCTGAAAGCCTCTGTTTGCCTTCCAGGGAAGGATGGAGGGAGCAGGGATGTCCCAGTCCTGCCCTGCCCCTGCCCCCCTCCCCTGATGCTGCTGCCCAGAGGCCACCAGAGCAGTGGCTGCTCACACCCTGGCGTGGCTCCTGCCCTCTGCTCATGCAGGGCACTGGACCACAGGTACCACCCCAGCTTCTTGCTCCCAGTCTGTGCAAGAGCTGGCAGTGGGAACCCAGCGTGGCACTGGTCGTGGGGCAACAGATGCTGGCACACAGAGTGGGGTCCTACCAGCCCTCACCTTTCAGGATGGTCATGTTGATCTGAGGCAGAGGCTGGTACTGGTCGGGCGGGGGGCAGCAGCGGACGCAGCGGGGCCGTGGGGGCAGCCCCTCCTGGGCACCATCAGCCTTCTGCTCCCGTGTGGCCCTGGCAAGGCAGAAAGCAAAGCCCAACGGGGAGCTACGGAGGGGGCGGGGGCCCTCTGCGGCACCAGGGCTGCCTTGGCCCCCATTTTGCAGTGCCCTGGCCCTGGGGTCCCCTCACCTGGCAGCTTGGTGCCGGGCCGGGGCCTCTTCAGCATCTGTCCACCACTGCTGGTCGGGACTGGGTCCGGTCTGGCTCCCCACAGGGCAGGACAGCAGCAGGCAGAGCAGCAGGACACCGTGCACCCGCAGCCCCTCCATGCCTTGGCAGTGCCCTGTGAGGTGCCAGGGACAGCTGAGGGGGACAGGAGCGTGGAAATGCCCAGCCCAGCCATGGCCTGTGCTGTCCTGGGACAGGACCTGTGCACTGCACAGTCCTGGGCTTCTGGCTGGGCTGTGGGACACAGTGTCACCCCAGTGAGCACCTGGGGAGACCCACACTGGGGCAGTGTGGAGGCTCTGGGCTCACCAGCATGTGGCCAGGACCATGCAGTGTCCCAAGTCCTGGCACACGCAGCAGAGGGGATTACCTGGAGAGCTGAGGGTGGAGCAGAGCAGCAGGCTCTGGATGACCAGCCAAATCCTGGGCTGAGTGCTGCTGCTCCTGCTCAGCCTGGCTTCAGCTGCCTCCCATGAATGCCCAAGAGCAGCAATTTAGGGTGTCAGCACCTAAAAAATTACAGGCAGCTCCAGATGCCATGAGGCAAATGTCAGGGTGCAGCCCTGCCTGTGTGGGGGACTCCAGCCCTGTCTGGGGAGCATATCTGCATCCCCACTCCTGCAAGGATGCAGCACAGGCTCTGCAGGGGGCTCCTGTGCCCCAGAGGCTGCTAGCCAAAGGGTTTGCAAGGGCACAAGAACCACTTCTCCAGAGACATGGACGTGGGCTGGCGGCCCCAGCTCAGAGCTGGCTACCACAGGGAGAAACCTTCCTGGGAGACCACATCCTATGTGGGGCCAAACCAAATATTTGCAGTGGCGGTGGCACCGTGGCCCAGCCCGAGCCCTCCGTGGCCCTTCCCTGCCTTATCACAGCCATATCAGCTGGAGACGTGGGGCCGGGCACGCAGCACCTTGTCCTTTGGCCCCGAGGCCAGCCTTGGCCAAACAGGCGTGTGGCACTGCCCAGTGCCCGGCATCCCGCGGCAGCAGGGGCTGAGGTGCTGCTGGGCTGGGATGGGGTTGGCTGCTCCCCAGCCTCCCGTCTTAGCCAGGCACCTCCCTGGGTTGGGACTGGGTGCGGCCTTTGCCGTTCTCCCCTCCCAGGCAGCCTCCCCTGGCACCACCCAGCCACGCTGCACAGCTCTGACGGGATCCCAGAGCACCGGCCCAAGGGGCAAAGGGCCTGCCCTGCCCTATGTCCTGGGGGTGGGCGAGGCCAGGAAGGATTTTGGGGCAGAATCCTGTTGTTTTGGTGAATGCACCGGGGCCCTCAGTCGGTGTGGGGTGGCTGTTACTCTTGTTCCCAAGGGGGGTCGGGGCACTGTGTGTGCTCCCGCAGCGGGTGCGGAGGGCGGATGACTGGATCATGAGTCACTGGAACCGGGAAGGGGCGAAGGGATGGGGAAAAGCTCCAAAGGGCTTTTCCCACTGCTTGCACCCTCTGCTAAGTGCCTGGCCCCTTTGCACGGTTCCCGGGCCCCTCTGTCCCACCATCTCTTACCCCATTATCTTGGCCCATGTCTTGGTGCTGCCAGGTGTGGGGAGAGGCAGGGGAGAGGCAGATTCATGGATAGAAGCATGGAGAAGGCCAAGTAGGGGCTCATGACTAGGTATCACCCAGGGCCAGCCTTGGCCCTGGCTCTGCTCACCCACGCTGAGCATGGCATGGAGCATGCCAGGAGTTTGGGAAGCCTGTGGATTTCCCTCAGCTCTGAGACCATGAAACCAGACATTCCCCCGGGGACCCAGAGCAGGCTCAGCCCTGGGGAAAACACAGTGTCACAGGGAGCTGCTCCATGGGGAGAAACCCTTCACCAGGAAGTTCCCACTGCAGGAGACAGTGCTTCCCAGGCTGCTGGGAATGGAGGCAAGCCTGTGGCACACACAGGGCACGTGGGGCTCTCTGGGCCCCCAGGACGTGCCCCCTGTGCCCCACAGGTGTGCCGGGTGGGAGGTGCCCCTGTGTGTGGGCACACACAGCCCTGCCGAGGGACGCGGTTTTTCCTGTCAGGGTTGGATGCTCTCCAGGAACGGTTGGAGATTTAAACTCAGTGGCTGCGGAAGCCTTGGGACTGCAAGTCAAAACATCCCAAAATACATTCCAGGCAGAGATAAAGACCAGGATGAAACAGAACAAACCCTGAGGGAGGAACAAGGGGCTCAGGGTGGCATGTGGGCGGCAGGACCTGCACCCCCTGCTTGTCCCTCCACTCAGGACGGTGGATACAGACTTCCCTGCTCCACAGCAGCTGGAGCTGGGATGCCTCTGGGGTCGTGCTGGTGGGACAGGACCCCCACATTCTGCTGCAGCAGCTGGAATAGTTGCAGAGCCCTTTTTTCCCCCCTGGAGCAGTGCAGACCCGGCAGGCAGCAGTGTGGGGGCTGCACAGGGTGGTTGCAGCCCTCCAGCTCCTGCAGCACCAGTAAGATGTTGTGCAGGGGACCCCAACAGCCAATGTGTCCCCTACAGAAATGCTGGGCGGGGGGCAGCCTCACTGGGCAGGGGTGGGGCACACGGACCGGTGCCCCTCGCTGGACCTGCCCCAGGGCATCCGAGATCCTGGCGATCCTGGCGAGGCGGAGCCGCCTTCGGGTGTCTCCGCGGGGATGCCGCAGCAGCCACAGTGAGCATAACACAGTACAGCTCTGGGCCTGGTGCCCGGGCCTGCAGGGCCCCCCAAAACCTGCCCCCCACATACCTCTGGGGCAGGGCTGCTCCCTCCCGGCGCTGCCTTTGCTGCCCTAGAGCATCCCCCGGGCCGGGGCAGAGCCTGCCCGCGGCCGATCGGTGCCTCCCGCTCCGGAGCCTTCTCCTCGCTCGGCCCGGGCGGAAATGCACTTTTTGGAAGCGCAGGAGGCAGCCAGGCGCGGGACGAGGCTCGCAGCCCTCCCCCGCCAGATGTGCGCCCGCGGCCGCCTTAACCATGTGTGCTCCCGGGACCGGCCGAATTAACCGTGTGTGCTCCC